TCAAGTCCTAGTTAAGTTGGGTCTAAGGTTCCTCTCTTAGTTGTGCTGGGAATAATTGAACTGCCTAGGACTTCTTTATCTGTAGACTGCGAGGCCTGGCAGATTGCTTCTGATCTTTTCTTCTCTGACAGTGGAATTGCCTGGGGACTCTGGGACTAACTAAACTTTCCTGTAGAGGAGAGACTGGTGTGGGAGGTCCTTCTGTCTATGTGTTGTTTTTATTGGTTAATTAATAAAGAAACTGCTTTGGGCCTATAGAAAAGCAGAACTTAGCTGGGCAAGGAAAACTAAACTGAATGCTGGGAGAAAGGAGACGGAGATTAGAAATATGTTCTTCCTAACTGAACTTGTGTTCCTGGTCAACATCTTTGCTGTGCATTCCCCATCAATGGTATTCTGCAGATGCCATTTCATAAACTTGACTTGTTAGATTCCATACATAAGTTTGTCTTTCTATACCTGGATTATCTGATTTATCATAACATTCTCTAGGTTTTTCTGAATGCTTCCATTTTAAGGCTGAATAATATTCTATCATGTGTGTGTAACTTTTAAACAATTGGTCCATCCATTGTTGGACACTGAACTTGGTTGCACATTTTGGTTATTGAGAAAAATGCTACAAGGAACATGAAGCTAGATATAGACGCTTGGTTTCAGCTCCTTGGCATCTACAATCAGTAGAGGGGTGCCTGGGTCATATGTTAACTCGTTTACTTTTTTGGAGATACTTCATGTAGTTCTACATAACAGATAATTTATATTCTCATCAACAATATACAGTGCTCCTCCTTCTCCACATCCTTTCCAACATTTGATAGCATTCGCCAATTTCAGCAGCCATTCTGACAGGTATAATGTAGTATATCACTTTAGTTTGAATGTGTCCATCTTTGGTGATTAGTGGCTTTGAGCATATTTTCCATATATACATTTGTTATCTATTTATACTTTTCAAAAAGGAAATGTCTAGTAAGCCCTTCCTCTAACTTTAGGCAGTTGTTTTCTGGAATCGAGTAGGTTGAGTGCTGTATCTACTTCGGCTACTGATTTATCATCAGATGTATGATAAACACGTTTTCTCCCATTACATAAACTATCTCTTTGCTCTGACGATCGCTTTCTTTGCTGTGCAGAAGCAATTAAAAATTGAACATTTATTTATTTATTTATTCATTTATTTATTTATTTATAGTGTGTGTGCATGTGTGAGCCATGTCACATGTATGGAGTTGGCTCTCTTCCTCCACCATGTGGGCTGTCCAGGAGGGGACTGAACTCGGGAACCCAGAGCCTCCTCCACAGAGCCATCTCACTGGCTCTAGAGCTTGTTAATTTAATGTACTCCTTAGTCTGTTTTTATTTTATTGTCTGTACTTCAGGAGTCATAGTCACAAAATCAGCGGAGTACCCCAACAGCCAAGTCTGAACAATTGTATCCGACCCTGAGGGAATCCTGCCTGGGAGGGGACTTGAGTGCAACCTCAGTTTCCTGGGTTTTCGCCTCTCCCTAAACCATGCAGTGGTGTCTTAGTTCGTGCATTTAATAGCACGTTCCTCTTTCGGTGGAAAATTTTGGCTGAGTTTATGGATTAAGATCATTTAACTTTATTCATTTCATCTTTCTAAAATTTTAGCTGATATTATCCACTTTGTATTCTTTTAACTTTTTCATGCTTATTCTACCATTTGCTCTATTATTTATTTAAGGCTAAATAATATTCATTGTGTATGTGTATCACATTTTCCTCATCATTTTTAACCCATTTGATCTTGTTTATTCGCTGTTTTCTGTTTTTTATTTTAAACTATGTCTAGCAGGAAGGTATTTCTAGTTAAATTTCTTGCTCATTGGAATAAACTTTAAAGTTAAATATACACTTGTGCTTTCTTAGTTATTTAAAGTGTGTCAGAATTCTCCAGCGTCTCCCTTTTATTATTATTATTATTTTGCATCTGGGCATGCCTGTGAACACATTTGCAGAGATGATTAAGGGAGAAGATCAATTCTGAGTGTGGGCGGGGAATCCCATTGGCTGGGGCTGGGATAGAACCAGAGAAGAGGAGAAAGTGCGCAGACAGGAAGTTTTCCCTCTGTCCTCTCGCTGCTGTGATGCATGCTGCCCGCTACACCATGATGGGGTTAAGCCTCTGAAAGCACGAGCCGGGACAGTCCTGTGTCAGATGTTCCGTTACAGGGTTGGAAAATCTCACACTTTCCCCGTATTCAAAGGATGTCTTGTCTTGTTCAAGATCTCAGTGGTCCCTATGGCTCAGGGAAAGAGTTATTCACATACGTTTTATCTAGTCAGATAGTGGGGAAAATTCAGAGGACAATCTATATAGGTTAGAAGTTATTAAGACCGGCTTTAAGTAGTGTTCATGGGAACTGCTGAGCAAGGCTATCATCCTCTTCCAGAACAATTGGGCTTCTCTGGGCTACAAACCACAGTCTCCGTGTGGAAAGAGAACTTCCCTGGGAGCTGGGGTGGGGATGAGGTGGGGGAGCTGGCAGCCCAGCTCCCCACTACCAACCTGAGAGAATAGTCACTTTACCTCGAAGATGCGGTTAAGCGAGAATAGTTTAGCAGAGGGCCAGTGGCCAATGCTGGGGTTTCTATTTTATTTATATACTTGTAATACTAACACGATTATCACTGATTTACTTTTGTTTCTGGTTGTAAATTCAAAAGGTGGATTTCACAGTTCTTGTTGTGTGTTTGGTCAACCGCTGACCCAGAGGATCAGGTGATGGCAATTATTAGGTCAATCATGGAGAGAGGGGAGTTAGGTCAAACATGGAGGTAGGGGAGTTAGGTCAAACATGGAGAAAGGGGAGTTAGTTCAAACATAGAGGGAGGGGAGTTAGGTCAATCATGGAGAGAGGGAGTTAGGTCAAACATGGAGAGAGGGGAGTTAGTTCAAACATGGAGAGAGGGGAGTTAGGTCAACCATGGAGGAAGGGGAGTTAGGTCAAACATGGAGAGAGGGGAGTTAGGTCAACCATGGAGGGAGGGAGGTGTTCTGCAAAGGTACGTCTCGTTCCCTTGTGATATCAGGAGGTAGTTCCTCCAGGGGAACAGTATACCAAACAGAGATTAGGATCTCGACCCACAGAAGCCTATTTCAGTCCACATTATTGCTGATTATATTTAATATAAAAAGGGAAATAGGCTTTTAGTGTGACTAAATGATGCCATTTGGAGTTTTCACCCAGCAAGGGCAGGATGCATTTTAGAGGGAAAGATGAGGAAAGGAAGGAAATATCTTCTTTTTCCCCAGGGAGCTCTTAGACAAAGGCTCTGGTGGCCAGTTGCAGGTTGTAGCTGGGAAATCAAGAAGCTGCTGCAGGGGCCAGCAAGATGGCTCTGTGGGTAAAGGCACTTGCTGTCAAGCCTATTGGTGTTAGTTGATTCCTGGGATCCACATGGTGGAAGGAGAGAACTGACTTCTACGAACTGTCCCCAACCTCTGTGCGTGCTCCATGGCTACATGCACGGTTCCTACATCACCAGCTAAATTTTATCTTATCACCCAACTTTTAAAAATAAAATCTCTTCATACAAAAAGTTTTATATATTTTCCCTTCCCTAACTCCTCCCAGATCCTCTCCACCCCCATATCCATCCAACTTCATGTTCTTTCTCTCTCACAAACAAAAAATAAAGTAAAAAGAATCAAAAGAGACAAACAAAAAATGAGTGAGACAAAAGTTACCAAAATGAATAAATCTTCTAAAATACATTTAAATAAAGGAAGCTGCCACATAGCGTGTGAGGAAGCCGAGAGAGCCATCAGAGTGTGTCTTTTGGAGCGGTTCCGGTGGTCAGCTCGCTAGCACAGCAGGTGACTGCCCACACTCTGCTGAATTATATGAAGATGAGTTTCAAAGCAAATTTTCTCCGTATGGTCTTGCCTCAGGCTGAAGACTTACGTACAGTTGCCCGTTTCTATGAAAATAAGAAGTGGTCAATTGCAAGAAAAAAAAACATCTTCACATTTAACTTTCAGAGGGAGGAGGGATCATATGAGCAAGAGGGGTCAAGACCATGATGGGGAAACCCACAAAGACAGCTGACCCGAGCTAGTGGGAGTTCACAGACTCTGGACTGACAGCGTGGGGCCAAACTAGGTCCTCTGAATGTGGGTGACAGCTGTGTGGCTTGGTCTGTTTGTGGGACCCCTGGCAGTGGGACCAGGATTTATTCCTGGTGCGTGGGCTCACTCGCTTTTCGGAATAAAGAAAAGAAAAGAAAACTGCTTTGGAATATTAGAAATTACCATCAATTAAGCCTATTCACTTATTTTTTGCTTGCTGGACATTGTGCTTTTGAAGGCCGACCTTGTTATAATCTAGTGTTGAGAAGCGGCGTTTTGGAGCAACATCGTATTGCCTTCCACCCTGGGTCTTAGAGCTATGTGTGTGAAGAGGAGATGAGCAGCAATATGAACAGTTACATATTTCTGCCCCCTCTGCAAGGAGACAGCTTGTCAGTGGTGAGTTTTCATTTCTGTGGCCAGATGGTAAAAAACATCCATAATACTGTGTATATATATATATATATATATATATATATATATATATATGGTCAGCAATAAGGTTGGCATGATGGATTATGGAACCACCAAAATGGCTTATTACAGTTATTAACTGATGATCATAACACACAGAAAGGGGGAGCACGCTCAGGGGTTATTTAAGGGAGATGAGAAAAATAAAAGCAGGCTGCTATAATCATGACACCGCATATGCATGTGGACCTGTTTGGAAGATGAGGCAGCGAGATAGGAATAAAGCAGTTCTGTTAGGATGCTAGGAATCCGGATTCTCGAATGCAGCTTCCCTTTCTCAATAGGTCTCCTGCAGACCAGGCTGTCCCCCAATCCACAGTGAGAATGACTTTGAACTCTTGATGCTCTTGCCTCTGCCCCCCTCCCCCCAAGTGATGGGATTACAGAACCATGACTGCCATGCCCAGCAAGGATATTTTTCTTTAATATGATAAAAATCACAATGGTGGCAAAGATAGTGAATTCAGCAGTCAGTGCCGTGGGCACAGAGGGCCGCCCCTAGTAAGCAGACATCCGAACCTGTGGAGAGAAGCGTCGTTAACCCTCCCTCCTCCTCTGTGTGTGTCTGCTCAGTAGATGTCAGGATCCACAGTACTGAGAACACTTCGGAGCAGTTGATAAGCTGAGCTGGAGGAGAGCCCGAACCTAACTGTACTTGGATCCCTCCCCCAGAATGGTCGCAACAGAGAGTAAATCTTGAAACAGTTGTCCAATGCTCCAGCTTGTGTGTCTTGGCTGAATTCACATTTAGGAATCGAGAAATAGGCAGATGGGGAAAGAACCTGTGGTCCTAATTAAGTAGGGACACACAGCAAGAGAAGTTGAATGGAGACATTTCAAAAGTAGAATGCCTACCTTGCATTAAGTGGAAAATGAGTATTTTAACTTAATAGCAAAGGAAGAGGAACTAGTGCCTATTTTGATTTCTAGCAGCTTGCGAGTTCTTAAAGGAGTCAAGGAACAGCCCTCTTGCTTCTTATGATAACATTAGTAATTTCTCAGGCTGTAGGTTTGAATGAGTGGAATGTTCCCTTTTCCTCTAAGGGCTTGGGACACCTTTGTCCCCTTTCTTATATCGCTGTTCAAAAGAACAACAGGTTCACTTCGAATAGAACCACAGTGTTGATTAGGACACAGGCCGCCTCACAGCACAGAGGAGGGGGTGGCTCAGTGGAAGATGCTAAGAAAAATCCACACAAGTCACAACTCACATTTTATTCTTTGGGTGAAGAAGGTTAAATCTCCCAGCTCAACATCTGAAACCAATTCATTTAGCACAGGAAAACACACACAAAAGTATACTTAGATAGCTTCTGTATTTTAAATAGGTAAATGGAAGAATTTTTTTTTCCTGAAATGCAACTTGAAAATGTGATTAAAAATAGCTTATATCTCTAAGTCAGTATTTGACCCTTGACTTGGAAACGGGACTCTGTGCACACACGTACACATGATGTGAAAAATTCTAAACTGTTTCCAGAAGGCAACTTCCCCAAATTTCAGACCTTAGCGGACACTCCAGTCCTCTCTCCTCAGACCCATGGAGGACTTGCTGAGCCCAAACAAGCATTGTTCTACCCTCTTGCTTCTGACAATGCAAGCAAGCATGTCAGTGGCAAGCATGGGGGAAAACTTTGTTACTGCATTTCCAATAACCTTCTCTATATAAATCGTATTTTCTGCTTTTGAAACAGCTATTGAGACTTTGGAAACTTCCCCTCACCACCACAGTCCTGCGTCAGGCCCATGGGCTGCAAAGCTGTATGGCATTGCTTCGGCTTGCATCAACATTAAAACATTTTTTTTTCTTCAAAAATATCTTACCCTCCATATTTTCAGTTTCAGTGCCCAGGAATGCATTGGTGTCTAATAGATAATATTTAGTAATGGAATACATCTGCTTTCATATATCTATAGAATTCTTTTGAGTAGTAACAATTTAATCCACATTGCATGGCTTTGACCATGTATTGCATAACATGGGCATGCATTTTGCTGTAGTTTACTTGCTGCAACATACAGTAATCCCCTTTGATTTACTATTTTAGAATATGCTACCTGGGAATGAATGCGGCAAACAATTTAGAGTAAATCAGTCTTTCTTTCCCCCATTCCTCTTCCATAGAGTAGGAAACTGAAGAGCTGGAAGATGAACTCTGTCCAGGATCAAGCATCTCATTTCCAGACATTGAGGCCTGACTAAAAAGATGACATACTTTTGATCTCAAACATCATTCAAAAATTATGACTTTTACGAGTATAATTCTTAAGGACGGTTGACCTAAGAATCACAGAGTTGAACTTCAAATACATAAAAGAGATGAGCTCCCCATTTTTTTTGTCCTCAAGTCACCTTTTGGGGGGTGACTAAAACTATTTGGCATAATAATTAGAATTAAATTTCATTGAAGAGTATAAAATAATCCTAATTCTCAAGACTAAATCTGTCACTGTTCCTATAAATGCATTTATTCTTACAAGAGGGGTAAAATGACATTTCAGCTGATTATTCTTATCGGTTGCAATTAAGCAAGAAAAACAGGAAGTAAATTTTAGGATACTATTACAATGTTTCTTCCCTCAGCCACAAAATAGGAAATACTGAGATTTTTATCATGTAAATTTTACTGGTCCAGTGAACTTAATGAAATATCAGCTTCAATTCAATCTTATAAATGAACTCTTGTTTCATTGGCATTTACAGTCGTGGTTGGGGGCGGGAGGTTGTTGATCAAACGTACACATGACAGCATTTCCAGAGGCTTATGACCATTGCATTTCATTCAGAGTTTTCAGAATGTTCAGGACTAGTTAATTCCCTTTGCAGTTTCATGTTTTAAAAGGCATATAGTAATTCCTAGTACATGCCTCTACGAAATGTTGAAGACAGAGAGACATATATAGTGTGTGTGTGTAAGTTTTGTTTTGTCTTGATAAAAAGAAATTCTAATCTATGAAAATATTACATCAAGTCATTTTGCACCTGGTAAGGAAATACATGAATGTTAGTAAATATTTAAAAACTTCAGATAAAGTTCCAGCAAATCGACACAAATGAAGAGCTTAAGACGTAACACAGCCATCTGAAATAATAACTTTTCACATAACAGAATCAACACTTTATTTGAAAAGTGACCTTGTTAGCATCCAGGACTCAATTATACATTCCAGCTATATTTAAGTCCCCTTCCTCCAAAATCCAACCCATTTAAGGAGGAGGGTTTACCTATTCTGTCTTGATTTTTATTTCTCCCAGCAGCTGCCATACATGAAAAGCTTTTCAACAGGCAAAACTCATTTTGTATAAAGGATCACAAACTTTCCCTCCCCTTTCTTCAGGCACAAGCAGCCAGCTTCTGTGTGGACAGCCCTGCATCCTTTGATACCTGGCTCTAGATGCCCTGACTGTTACCAGGGGCTTTCTAGCTCTTTGGGGGCTGCTTTACAAAGCATTCCACATTGTTTAAATTGTTCAGAAGCAAATGGAACTTTTTCCCCCTATTTACTTCCTCTTCCCTAAAGAGAAGTAAACCTCAGCTCGTCCCTAAAATCTGCCCCCTACATGCGTATTTACACAAGTATTAGGCACCAGAGGTCTGCACCCCATCACATACCATGCCAGTTTCTAAGTGTACGAAGGCTGTTGGAGCAGAGATTTTCTTCCATTGGGAGCTGAGTGTAGCAACGTGTCTGTCAACACGGGACCCTTGGCTGCTCAGATCAGACTATTGTTTCGTGGTCCCACCTGCCTTGGCTCTGATTGATGTAGCAACAGTATCTGTCATAAGGGCTGTTCTGCTTGTAGGAGCAGACGATGATACTGTCCTGGGGTACAAAGAAGATGCTGTCCTCGGGCTCTGGGCGGTCAGCTGAGCCCTTGACGTCCAAGGCACTGTAGGCGAGGGAACTGCCCGAGGGGCAGTAGCCATCCAGATATCTGGACGTCTCCTCCTGACGCCCACTCTGGACTAGACTCTGGCATTCTGCTTCCTCTGTGGGGGTGGGGGTGGTAATGGAGCTGGCCATAGGCACCTCACCTGGCCCCTGTGGGAGCAGCTTCCCTCTGAGGCCTGCCTTCTTAGCCAGTTCATCTGAGCTCCCCTTGCCGGATTCCAGGTCTGACGGGGTCCTCAGCAGTTCCACCACTTCCTTGTCCTTGGGTTTCCGGAAACAGGGTAACTTGCGGACCCAGAGGAGCTCATTCTCAGGCCACTTGGTGCATCCCTCGGTTTTCCTGGCCAGGGCAATGGCTGCGATGCCTGGTAGGCAGATGGCTGGCCCGATGGCCAACAGAGGGATGTTCCCCAGAGTTTCCCCCTTCATGCCAGAGACAGTGAACATGAAGCCAAAGACCAGAAAAACACTGACCAGGGCCACCACCAGCCCAGTCCGCGGATTTATGTCATCAGGCCGCATCTTTCACTCCATTCAGGTTGGGAGCTGCTTTGGTAGCCAGGGAGCACCCCTTCTCTCCTCTGTGGAAGTGAAACCACAGGGGTTAAAAATTTCACAACTTCCCACCCACCAACTCTTTCTTGCTATCTCTGAAAGACTCTTTCAACCTCTCTCTCTCTCTCTCTCTCTCTCTCTCTCTCTCTCTCTCTCTCTCTCTCTCTCTCTTTCTCTTTCCTGTCCTCTCCTCCTCCTGTCTTTCCCCTCTTTTCCTCTCTCCCTCCCTCCCTCCCTTCCTCCCCCTATCCTCCCCCTCCCCATCTACTGTTGCAACCCTGTCTCTCTCACACCAACGTGCACCAAGTAGGGTCACCGAGTTACCTGAAGGCTCCTGTCACCTCCCGTAAATGGGAAGAGCCGGAATGTCTCCAGAAACCTTCGTATAGGCTGTCCCTTGATCCTCTCCCTAGGTTCTGAGAGCCGAGCCTGGCTTTTCCACCGACACCGCACATAGGAGGTGGGACAGAGGAGGAGGGTCTTTCCCAGCCTGGCTCTTGGCGTGTAGGTCTCGGGAGCTCTGGAAGCAGAGCCTGGCGCAGCGAGCAGAGTGGGCGCGCAGCGCTGCCACCGGCGAGGAGGGAGGACTCTGTCCCGGCAGGAGGAAAGCGCGCGAGCCTGGCCGCCTTACATCACTTACATCGCTCTGGGAACAGAGATGGACGCGCGGGGGCGCGAGGGGGTCAGAGCCGGGTGGTCACGCCAAGCAGGCTCCGGGGGCTTTCGTCCCAGAGCAGCAAGCAGGCGGGCGGGTCCAATCGCGTCCAAGCCGCTGCCCTAAGAGGGAGAGCAGATCCTCTTGCCCACGAGGCAGCCGGTGCAACGTCCGAGTCTGGGTTCCAAATTCTGGGTCTGAGGGCTCCGGGGCCAGCGGGAGGTGAAAAGGGGACTTGCTGCCTTGGCCAGTTCCAGACCTGAGAGATGCCTCTGCCCCGACAGCAGCCAGGTGCTCTGGGGCTGCCCATACCCCTCTCCCTGGCAGCTCCTCGAGGCGCGAGGTGCCCTCGAAGGAACCGGGTCGCACTCTGTTCCCGCCTGACCTGAGCACCCCAGGAGTGCGCCCGACTGTAGGAGCGCTAATACCTGCCTGCTTCTAGGAGTCACCAGAGGCTCCTCCGCTACCCAGTTCTGCCCTTGACAGAAGATGGCTTTGGAAACTCAGTCCCACAGCCATGGTTCCAATGGCACCCAGTGGGGCAAGGCTTCTCAGCCTCTTTCACTCGTCCTGTTCCCTCAGCTTCCGGCTTATAGCATCCAATTGCCTGCTTGATATTGTTCTTTGGATCATCTTCAGACAGCTCACGTTCAAATGCCAGCAGGAACTCACCCGTCCTCCAAGCTTCTCTTTCTCAGTGAGCTCCTTATATCCTGTACGCCAACAGCATAGTTGGAACTAGAAGCTGTTTTTCTTTCCCCTGGAGTTTCATCTCCTAAGTCCTCTGGCTTTCTCCCTGACCCTACTTAAGCCACTCCACCATCCCAGGTTTCCTCTTCTTTTAAGGTTATTTTTTATTATTTTGTTTTTACTAGCACATATTAGTTATGCATAATATTAGGCTTCATGGTGACATTTTCACACCTGTATTGGTATATTTTGAACATATTCATCCCCATTACTCTCTCTTCCTCTGAGTCCCTTCTTCTTTCCAAATTTTCTCCTTTTAGTTTTCTACCATGGCTGATTTCCCCCATAACAGTCATTCCAGTGGGCACATATTGTCAGGCAAAAAGGGCCAAGTACAGTGAAAGTACATTAGTTTAAAAAAAAAAATCGCATCACGGTGCTGGAGAGATGGCCCAGTAGTTAAAAGCACCTGCTGATCTTGCAGAGAACCTGGGTTCAGTTTCCAGCATCTACACGGTGGCTCCCAACGGTCTCTAACTCCAGGCCCAGGGCACCCAACGCCGCCTTCTGGCTCTGTGGGCAGCAGGCAGGCAGCAGAACACTCATACACGTAAAAAGATCATCACGATAGTTGGGATTTCTTCCTTGGTGGGGTGTTTTAAGTTCCCCCCTTCCTGCGATGTTTTGTACAGCAGACTGTGCTAATGAAGGAGGAACACTTCGCAGTCCCAGTTAGAATTTATAGAGCCAGGTTTAGGGTGTGTTCCCCCCCTCCCCATGGTCTTTAGACCAGTCACTGCTCAGAGTGAGTTTCTGGTCCTCCTGGCTTGAACTGAGCTGTATTATTTTCACTTGCTTTCTTGATATTCCCTGCCTGCCACCTGTATGCCTTCTGAGATCTCACTTTAAATAAATTTATATACAGGGCTGAGGAGATAGTTCTGTTGGTACAGTGCCTACTTTACAGACATAGTGACTCCATTTTGCATGCCTAGCACCCACTTAAAAGCTGGGTGTGGTAGCGTGTCCTAAATACCAGAACTGGGGATTGAGACTCCAATGCTTGGAGCCCATTGGCTAGCTGGCTTAGCTGAATGCATGAGCACCGGGTTTAGTGAGAAACCCTGTCTCAGATCATAAGGTGGAGCCCAATAGAGGAAATCACCCAATTTCAACCTCTGACCTTCACACCCAGGTGGCAAGCACATGTGTATACCCCACACGAACCTGTACACATGATACACAGATCAGATACACAGACATACAGACATAATGTGCCTGTTATATTTTTGTTATCTTGACACAAACTGGAGTCATCCGGGAAGAGGAAACCCCAAGGAAAGTGTCCTCCTCAGATTGCTGATGGGAAAGGTGACTGGAGTGTTTCCTTGAGCAGTGATTGGTGTGGGAGGGTCCAGTCCACTGTGGCTAGTGCCACCCCTGCGCAGATGGTCCTGGGCTGAATGAGAAATCCACGAGATACCTGAGTAATTCATGGAGAGCAAACCAGTAAGCAGCTCTATTCTGTGGTTTCTGCTTCAGTTCCTGCCTCCCGGTTCCTGTTTTGAGTCCCTGCCATGACTTCTCTCAGGATAGACAACAGAAAAGGACACCAGAACACACAGGTTCTCAGACACAACTCATTTATAAGTCTTTTCTCTTGCAAGAAAAGGAGATGGTTGGGTGTTATCTTGGCCCTTTTCCTTCACCAGGTTTCACTGGTGAGGCTTCTAATCTGCCACTGGACTCAGATGGAGGAAATATTTGGAGGAGAAATTGGCTGAACCCCTTCTTAGCTCTATTCTTTCTCAGTTCTTTGGCAGCCACTTCTGAGGGGCTGAACTGACGTCAGTATTGGGCAGATATGCCAACTATAGTGCTGGAAATCCAACTGGGTTCTCACGAAAGCAGGGCTGTCAGGCAAAGGCCTCCTCTTATTTGTTGAAACAGTGAATTCCATTCTGCCTCTTAAGCCATGTAGTTCATCTCCTTAGGCACTGGGTAAGACCTGGGCATAAAACCACAGGAAACCCCAATCACTGTTTAATTATAAGGCTCATTCTCCAAGCCAGTCTTTCCCGGGAGTACCTTGAGATGGTCTCTGGACGGCAGGTGTTCTTGCCTACATCAGCACAGACAGTGGGTGGAGATGGGAGTCATCACTCAGGGATAGAGAGGCATCTCCATATTTACTTTCTTGCCCATGTGGACCGATAGCGCCAGAATTCTAACACTTTAAGCAGTTCTTGCAATCCCGTGCAGGTGTGCAATCATGAACAAAAGCATCTCTTGTAAGAGAAAATTCAGAGAACAAAACAAGGCTTCAGGAAGTGGGTGTCTGGGGAGGAAACAAGGAACACTCTACTTCCCAAGTCCTGGCATGCTGGGATTTGGTGGCTACCCTGACTCTATTATACAGATAAAATTCAGAAAGTTTCATTTTAACTTTCCTCAGTTATTTGTACCTGAGTGATTATGATGTGCATGGTGCTGTGCTAGGGACCGGGCAGACGGGCGGGACAGCCAGCGTGCCTCTCTAGAACTACAGAGAATAAGACATACACGTGGGTTAGAGCGATACAGATTACAAGGTGCCCGTGAGAGACCCTGAATATCAGTGTCTGTGTGCTCACGGCGCCGTGTCAACACGTGTCAACACGCTTTGGCGTGTTCTGTGTCTTCCTTCTAGGCGCTACAAAGTCACCGTTAGGCTGATGCCAGTTTTGTAGCATAGGGACAAAGGCATGGAGCCAACCACATGTTTGGCAGTGAAGTGCATACCCTGGACTCATCTCCCTTCAGGGGCCTCCTTACTCCACATCACATCTTCCCCCCTCAGTTTCCCTACTGCTACAGGACCCTGGTTTGTGGGGCTTCTGGAAACTGGAAGATGAAGACTGGGAGTTTTGTCTAGTGAGAACAATAGTAAAGCGGTAAAGCTGCAGCAGACCCGGACAGCAGAAGGGACAGCACACATACATAGACCATCACATCCAATCGCACCAGGCTATGTGTTCCTTCATCGCGTACATATTCTCCAGGATAGATCATGTGTTAAACCACAAGGCTTACTGAATTTATTTAAGAAGGCTGCAATCCTATCAAGACTTTACTACATTTATAGTAGAATAAAGCCAGAATTCAATAAGGAGGGAAATTAGAAAATTCACAATTACGTGAAAATGAAACAACCTGCTCCTGAACAAGTGGTTCAAAGAGGGACTCGAAAACAGTATCTTGAGGCAAAGAAAATTGAAATGCCATATAAAAGTCTACAGTATACAGCCAAAACTGTTCTCAGAGGCAAGTTTATAGAGCTACATATTATAGGAAAAAAGAGGGAAGACCGAGTTAATCAGCCCAACTTTACACATCGAGATACTAGGGGAGAAAAGCAAACTAAATCCAAAGTTAGTTGAAGGGATAAATAATAAAGGCAAATGTAGAAATAGATACTAAAACTGAAAGTTTTAATAAAATTGACACTAGGTCCTTTAAAAAGAGAAACAAATTGGTTACACTTATGTTCAGCATGAAAGAGAAAAGAACTCCAAAGAAATGGATAAATCCCTAGAACGTGTGACCTCCCAGGATTAAGTTATCAAAAAAATCTCAATAAACCAAAGAATATAAACAGACCAATAACAACAGGTAAGGGACTGAATCTGTACTCAGTATCCCCAGCAAAGAAAATTCCATGCTCCAACGGTTTCTCTGTGGATTCTGTCAAATGGTTAAAGAAAAGCTAATGCTAATCCTTCTTAAACTCTTCCTCAAAATTGAAGAGAACATTTTCAAGACCATTTTACGAGTGCAGAATTACCCTAATGTCAAAGCTACCCCATGAGAAAAGACAATTACAAGGCAACATATTTGATGAACGTGGATGGAGACATTCCCAACAAAATACTAGCAAATTGAATTCAGTAACTGTTGTGAAATATTCCTTTACACTGTGTGAAGATGTGCCACTGCGACTGGTTTAATAAAAAGCTACATGGCCAATAGCTAGGCAGGAGGTATAGCAGGGACTTCTGAACAGAGAGAGCTCTGGGAAGAAGAAAGGCAGAGTTACCTGCCAGATGCAGAGAAGGCAGCATGGGCAGTGCAGAGGAAGTAACTGAATCACACAAAAGAACATAGATTAAGAAATATGAGTTACTTTAAGTTATAAGAACTAGTTAGGAACAAACTGAAGCTAAGGCCGAGCTTTCTTAAATAATAATAAATCTTGCTGCCTTTTTTTTTGTGTATGTGTGTGAACTGGCAGCCCAAAGAAAAATCCGTCTGCAAATAACACACTATGAAGCTCAAATAAGATTGTACTAGAGATTCAAGAATGGGTTTCTATATGCAAATAAGTAAATATGCCACAATACAGTAATAGAATGAAGGATATTATTTAAATGATTATAATAATATATACAGGAAAAGTCTATAAAGATCAGACATAAATTGGCCATCCTTTTATGATAAAAGTTCTTCAAAGGTTGAGTTTAGAAAGAATACTCCCAACATAACAAAAGCCACATATGACAAACCCATACTTAGTACCGTATCCAGTGGTGAACAGCTGGAAGCTTCTAGTTCCTCTAGGACTAGAAATGAGAAAGATGCCTATTCTCAATACTTCTACTCTAAAGGGGGCTAGAAGTCCTTTCTTGAGCAACTAGATCAGAGGACCAAAAAACAGGCATCCAAACCAGGAAGGAAGAAGGTAAAATTTCTGATTAAAGATGACACAATATTTCATATATCTATACACATATGTATTGCCTTGAAGATTCCACCAGAAATTAGTTAACATGAATAAATTAATTCAGCAAAATTTCTCGACACAAAATCATAATAAAAATTAGTTATATTTCTATGTAATAACAAGGAGGAATATGAAAAGGAAACTTAAAAAATCCAGTCTCTAAAACAATTTTAGAAGGAATAAAATTCTTTCATAAACTTTTTTCTTTA